ACAACTATTAATAACTTTTTAATGTCCTTCTTTATTCATCCTAACATCTATGGGTGTGTTTACAATTTAGAAAATTTTAGTGTATTAATAAGTGTGTGTAACTGACACTGTGATGTAATTCTAGAATGTTTATTACCCCAAAAAGAACTCCATACCCGTAGTAGTCACTCCTCATTCCGTCCTTCCCCCTAACTCCAGACAAATACCTATCTATTTTCTACCTCTGTGGATTCACCTCTTCTGGAGATTTCATATAAAGGGAATTATACAAGATATGGTCTTTTGTGTTTGGGTTCTTTCACTGAGCATGGTATTTTTAAGGTTCATCTATGTTGTAGCATAAATAAGTACTTTATTCTTTTTCATGAATGAATAATGCTCCATTGTAGGGATAAACTACATTTTGTTTATTCAGTCATTAGTTTATGACATTTGGATTGATTCGCTTTTTGACTATTATGAATAATGCTGCTAGAAACATTTGTGTGCAACTTTTGGTGTGGACATATGTTTTTCAATTCTCTTGGGAAAGTTGAATCTAGGTATAGAATTGCTGAGAGTCTTATGACAACTCTACATGTAATTTTTTGAGGAAATTCGAAACTATTTTCCACAGTTGTGCGCCATTTTACATTCCCACAATCACTGTATAAGGATTCCAGTTTCTTCACAAGCTCACCAACATTTGATAGTTTTCCATTTTGAGTGTAGCCATCCTAGTGGGTCTAAGTGGTTGTCTCACTGTGTGTTTGACTTGCATTTCTCTAATGACTAATAATGTTGAACATCTTTATATGCTGTTTAGCTGTGTGTGTATCTTCTTTGGAGAAATGTCTATTCAAATCTTTTGCCCAGTTTTGACCAGGTGATGTATCTTTTTACTGTTTAGTTGTAAATTTCTTTACAGATTCTGGGTATAACCATCTATCCATTATATGACTTGCAAATATTTTCTTTCATTCTGTGGGTTGCATTTCCACTTTCATTGTTTTGTTTACCTCTTTTTTTAAATTGAAGCATTTTAATTGAAATATAATGTTATATTGGTTTCAGGTATATAATATAGTGAGCTCACCCCGTTTTTCCTTTTAAGCGTTTCCAGATAGTCTGTTGTTCACCTGACTGTTACCCACCTCCTCTGGAAGCTGCAAAGTTAAACAATAGCCTTTATTTGTACTCAAAAGTGCCCCCGAGGAAAAACGCTTTTAGCACCGGGCAAGCACTGAGTGAAGTCAAATAAAGAGAGACTTCCAAGTGGGCTCTTCCAGAAAACCACCAAATAGCTCAAATAATGACAGTTCTCTGGAAAGGAGGTTTAGAAAGATGTCCATCCCCTCTCGTGGCTTCTGGGCTGCTGTTTTGCACCATGTATTCAGGGCTGTTGATTTTCAAAGCTACTGTAGAGCTGGGGAGGGGGGAATGGGAAAATAGGGCACACCAAAACACCACAAAGCTCACCCTACCTGCCGAGATTTAGCTTTTTTTTGAATAAGCACTTCCTGGATTGCTGCAAGCCTTTGGTTAATTTACAGAGTTCTGAAAAAGTTGTTTTCACAATTTTTGCCATTTTTTGACCCATTGCCTTCATGGAAGAGGACATTTTCAGAGATCCTGACTCTGCTGTTTTCACTGACGTCACTCACCTCTCTGGGTCGGCTTTGATAGATGGATTTTTCTCCCCATCGTAGATTATATTTTCCTGCCTCTTTGCATGCCGGTTAATTTTGTATTGCATGCGAGACATTATGAGTTTTACTTTATTGGCGGCTGGATGACTTTTATTCCTGTGCATATGTTTTGAGCTTTGTTCTGGAATGCAGCTATTTTATCGGCAAGCAGTTTCATCTTGTCTTATCTAGCTCTTAAGGCTTTTGATGTGAGACCAGAGCATTGCATTTGTTCCATCTAAGGTGAGCTATTCCCCTCTATCGTAACAAGATCCTTTGAGTATTTTACCTATTGCCTCACGTCCAAATGAAGGGAACAGATGCCATATTTGGTCCTGTGTGAGTGCCAGATACAGTGATTCATACATCTTTTAATTGGTCCATTCCTTGGCCTCAGCTGGCATCCTCACCTGTATGGATGCTCTGGTCAGAACTCTGCTGTCCCCTGACTTCCTTTGCCTTGTTTTCAAGACCTGCATACTCTCTCAAAAAAGTAAGCTGGGATAATTATAGGACCATCATGTTTGGTTTCATCTTCCAGGGGTCTCTATCCTTTACTGACTAATGTCTAGTGTCTTAAGAGCCATTGTCGTATATATTTTGTCCACATTTTTTCCATTGTTTTAGGTTAGAAGGTAGTTATTTCTTGTTACTCCTTTTTGCTGGAATCAGAAATATATTTGCTCATTTTTGACCTGGACCTTTAATTTACATCTAAATCACTTACCTATTCTGGTTAAATGGTAGTATGCAACACATCGTAAATATAAAGATAAATGTATGCTAACTTACTCTACATTAAAACAAATAAATGTCCCTTATTTTGGGTAAGAACCCTTGATATGTTTCATTTCTCCAAAGCTGTGCTTATCAGGAGTCAAAGTTCCATTCAATTAAGCTATTCTTTGCAGTGTAACAAGAAAAAGGAAATGGGCATTACAAATAGACAGTCTATCCTGAATCTGGACCCTTTCTATTTATTGGTGCGACTCTGGGAAATTTGCCTAAATGTCTCTGAGCCTCTGTTTACCCACCTGTAAAGAGGCTAATAAATAGGAATGTTGTGGGGATAGCATATTAAGCACCTGGCAAGTAGTGGGCCCTGGTTGAGTTCAAGGGCATCTTCTCCCTTTGTAACAGTGTATTTTTCAGTGTGCAGGTAACTGTGGATTTAGTTACCGACAAAGGATTACATACTGCACTGGGATCCGATCTACTGAGAAATCGAAGCTTCGTCAGCTGTGGCCTGTAACCTATCGAGAATGCCCCGTGCTGCCCTCCCCTCAAGTGTACAAATGCAATTTTAAGACCTGTTTGCACATGGCCACTTGGAAAGTGGGAACATGGAGCAAGGTCAGTAGATAATTATGAATTTTAAATCTTCTAAATGAGACTTTCTAGTTGTGGAACGCCCAGTAACCTGCGTGTCTAACTAGATATCAGACATGTCTTATACCCTTATAGTCTGACAATCACTTTATCAGTTACTTGTGTAAACATTTCAATCTCTTTTTCTATGTTAGCTGTAACCTGCGTTAAGCAGGGACCATACCTAATGCTTATTTCTGTTCCTCAGTCTTGGCCCAGTGGCTTGCATTTTGAGTAGATGCTTAAGAAATATTTAGTGGCTGGGTGAAAAAGTAAATAAATCTGATATTTGAGTAATAAAAGTTATTTGCACCATATTCCACTTCCAATTTAGTGGATAGAAAGCCAGTAAATACTGCTTTGCCAACTTTGCATGTAACAATGAGAAAAACACCCAGTTGCCTGAATAACCATCATTGATTGATATCTATCAAATATTTACAGTATACTGCTGATGTAACTATATAAAATCAATGGAAAGAAGCCAGTAACTGAGAAATAACAGGTTCAGTTTCCTAAGGATTACTCCCACCTGTGGTTGTCCAGCCTCCAGGATATTTTTGTATCTGCAATAATTCCAGCCACTGCTGATCATCACTTTGTTCCAAAAGAACCCAGTCTGACAGGAGGAGATATGTACTTACTGCCCCACTACCCATTACACACTTGACCTTCAAGTTTTATTCTGTTCACAGTGCTCCGTGACTTGTGGAGTTGGGATAATGGAGAGAAGAGTGGAATGCCTGGCTGAAAATGGGTGGTCCAGTGACTTATGTTTAAAGCGTTTAAAACCAGACGCTCAGAAGAAATGCTATGTCAATGACTGTAAGCAACAGACTTCGAAAATCTATCTAGTACCTAGGTGTTCCTAAGAAGTTTTAAGTAAAATTTGCAAATAAATATTTGGAGTAGTCATACACTCCACAAAATGCACTATCCTTTTTTTCCCCCTAGAGTATCACAATATTTGTATGATTGAGTTAAATTCATATTTGGTTTATAATTTGTTCATTGCTGATAAACTGTATTCACTTGTCCTTGAAGGTAAAATATTTACCAGCTGCAAAGAAGTCCAAGTGAAAAATAACATTACCAAGGATGGTGACTATTATCTTAACATTAAAGGAAGAATGATAAAGGTATTATGAAAACAGTTCCTATTTGAGTTTAACATTGACTATTGACTTTGGAAAAAGCCGTCCGAGATGTTTCTATTTTCCCTTTAGATCTATTGCACCGGCATGACCTTAGAGAACCCCAAGGAATATATATCTTTGGTCAAAGGGGAAGAAGACAACTTTTCTGAAGTGTACGGCTTTAGGTATGAGCTGCGTTTTGTCTTATCTGTGCACGTTTATGGTCCTTCAAGAGAATTAGAAGTTCCAGAGCTCTGAGCGGTACTTGAATAGCTTGCAAGTGGGACAAGTAATTTAGAAGCAAGTGGAACTATTTAGACCTCAGCCAAATGTTGTCCATGCCTGTTCAGTAATAAAGATTTGGGTCATTAATATGTGTTCACAGAGAGACTGACTCAGAAGACACCATGGGTGAGCAGTGGAAAAATACAAAAGGGAAGCATTTAAGACCTGTGCGCATTTTCATAGGAATCCAGTTAATTCCAGTAACAAAAGCTAGGAGAGCTCCAGCTGAATTATTTTTCCACTGACTGGTCTTGGGTTTCCCATTGATCATTTTGAGTGATTTTTACTTTTCACATTTAGCTTGTTGACACTGTAACATTGAAGAGTATGTCTTTTATCTTCCCACTTCTCAGGTTTACCATTTGTCTACATTATGGTCTAATAGCAGTATCTAATACTAAAAATATTCTAATGTTGTTCCAGACTACAAAATCCATATGAATGCCCTTTTAACGGAAGTAGGAGGCAAGACTGTGAGTGCAAAAATGACTACCTGGCTGCCGGGCATACTGTTTTCAGCAAAATAAGAATTGATCTCACTTCCATGCAAATTAAAAGTAAGTGCTGAATCTCTAGTTGCAAAATGAAAGGCCTGTGTTTGCTAATGCAAGTCTAACAATATGCTTTCTGGTAAATGTGGTAGCCTGGGATTAGAGAAGGGCTTAGCATCATGCAAT